CATATGATTATGAATAGTGATAAAATGTGTTCAAAATGTCGTCATTCAGTAAATATTACTGTTTCACTGACTGTGTAACATATTTGATAAACAAATTAATGTGGATTAACACTCATGATTCCACTTAAAAGTTTAATCAGGTTTGAGTGCGTCGGTGGAACAGCGGTTAGGATTCTCCCCGACCATACACATGGTCCGGCGCTCGATCCCTCGCCGACGCACACTTGATATCAGTGGTTGGCATGTGAAATTCGGGCTACTAATATCACATGCTGAAAATTTCATACTTGTACCGAAAAATATGGTGTGTAATCAAGCTGTAATCATAATAAAAATAAATAAATATTATATACTTATTACTTTGCATTCCGTTGCAGCGTGGGGCTTCAGGTCTGTGCTTTGAACCGACTGCAGCAATGCCATTTATCTGTCTCTTTTTACCGGTTGAGGTTGTAAGTTTCACACCCAACCTTCCCTCTTTACCAGGCTAAATACAAGCAATGAGTAGGAATCGAACTCTCGAACACACGGTTGGCGAGTATTTTAACATTGAAACACCGATGCACGGGTTTAATTGAAACTTGTTCTTAACTCATACATCATTAAACAAGCAATAAAAGGTGTTAAGAAATCAGGATTTCATAAATTCATCAAATTTCTGTAAAACTATTCCTCGGCTGGATGGATACTCCACATACAGTGGTATAAAATAAAGTTGGAATCCCCTATGCATTTCAATTACATCACCATCACATCATCAATGAGTGAAAGAACTTGTACATATATCAAGAAATGAGAACTAAGTAATGTTGGCTATAACAGTAATAGTATTACTAATAATAGCAACAATAATAACCATAATGTTAGATGGAGTTAAGATAGTGGTGATGATAAAAGATAGCTTTAAATAAATCAGAAATAGTTATAATAAGAGGTGGCATGTAGAATAAAATATTAATAGTAATAACACTTAAAAAGTAAAACATATTACCATGGTAGATTCAGAGTGATCACTATTTCCTTTTGTACATGGAGACCTGGTTTATCAACCATAATTGCACAAGCCTCCTCCAATTTCGAGCATCTTTCTGTCTGTTTTTCTGCTGACTACAGTGAATGACTTGACAGCGTCAATATCGTTTTGAACTTTTAGGCACTTTGACAAATCCTGCATCATGTTAGTAGACAATCACCTTTCTCTGCCAACACCTATGTATTTGATTCCAAAAAGGCACCCATAAAATTGACATAGGCAGTCAGAAGTGTCAACGACTGGCGAATGCTGGTCTTTGGCAGATTAATGAAGCAGCCGATCTGCTGTGGTGTTAAGGAAGGCGAGTCTTGTAACATAATAAGTTCTCACTGATAACTAATTGTTTATCTGAGAAGTGTAGCTGAATCGTATATTACATTTTACCTTAATTTTATATCCCTCTGTGTAGAGTCTTCATCCAGCTGAGGGAGGTTTCTACCGAAATTTGACGAATTCATGAAATTCTTCTTGATTAACGGCACCTTTTGTGGCTTGTTTAAAATTCGTGTCGGAAAATAAATGTTTCTAACTCATTATCATACATCATTTCTAAGACTTGATCCACTCATTATAATAAATCTCATTATTAATGACTTTTTTAATGACTTTGATTCACTACATGGAAAATCGTTAACCTACAGATGGCAGCCAATAGGAATTGTCTAACAACCGAATATCATTCACCGATGGAATATTATATGAAGGTTTATCAACATCAGCTGTTATCGTATGTGTATGTCCAATGCCATACAACAGACAAATGCCTAAAAGGAGAAAAAATGATTTATGCTATAAATAATTCAGGTATGTCGAATGTTACTATCTGGTTGTCAAAATAATAATAATAATAAGCTAGCGGAACGCCTTGTCACAAAGCAATCGAGCGATAGTGAATATTTATTATTTTCCTGTCTGACGAATGAAATGTAGAGCTTCGTTAACACCACATCTTCATTTTGTTCCACTTTCTGATGTTCTATTTAGCTGGCTAGCACAACGATCGCTCATAATCTCTCATCTCTTTCTACCAAAAACGATGTCCTCCATGTCAACGGCGTTACGATAAATGCACAACTCTTCCTTTCTCATTCCTGTTCCACTCGAGAGGTGGCCCGCCCCATGAACCTGCTCCCAATCCATCTTCATTCTCTTCAGTGCATTCGTCGAGCGATAGGTTCTTGCTTCCTTTGTTCTCGAAATTTCTTGATGTAAGAATAAAACGTTTGCACTATGATAGAGTATAACTCCATTATGGGTAAATTTTTGTTTTGACAAATTCTCTCAGTGTTATACAGTAATGTTTACTGATGACGTTTTGAACACAATTTATTGCTGCTGATAATCATATCAAGATGATAATCATATCAAGATGATATGATTATGAGCAATAAAATGTCCCAGAATTTCCTGTTGCAAATTCTTTCTCGTCGGCTGACCATTTCACCTCCGATATGGAGCCAGCCAACCAGCCAGTGAAGTGCGTAGCTGTTGATAAAAGTCGACAACTAGGTGTTCAAAATGCTTTCCATTACAGACATTGGCCAAGTTTCTGACTCAAATAGAAGAACTGGCTGACTTACCGAGTGACTTCATATTTGTGTTGAATAGAATCCGGGTGTTGTCGTTTGTGGTGATGAGGCGGATTGGAGATTTCCAAACTGATTTCAGATTGATGGGGGTGTGTTTCGGTGCTTTTCCAATCCTGTTTGTCTGTTTGGCTAGCTTCGACATGTTCATTCTGGCCACCTGGATAAGTGAAGACAGGAAATAACCTCTTACAAAACTTCTCCCGTTGAAGGTGATTGGTTCTGGTTGTTGTTGCTATCAGTTGGTTGGTTGATTGATTGGTTGGTTGTCTTCATCACCTACCTTCGTCTTCTCTATATTCTACTAGAGTTCTGTCTTTACTGGCTGCTTCTTCAGTCATTTTTTTTTGCCTGTGGCTATAATTCTTTTAGCTTGTGTGTCAGTAAAAATAAATCATCCGCCAAATCCAGATAAATGGCAAATGTTCAATAAGTTGACTTGGTTAGCAAATATAATCTTTCACCTGTATATACGAAGAACGTTTCCTCTGATTTTTCACCTCATATTTTCTCATACATAGAGTTCATGGTGCATTCATGTAAGTTAAGTTATGGGAAACAGTTTGTCATGTGTATTTTGTAATCAGTTTTATCTGAAAAAATCTAGTGTAAATTTAGTTAATACCGAAGAATTAAAGAACACTAATCTGTACATCTAGATAATTCAGTTCCTGGTACCCAATCAGGCGGCTGATCCATGAATTTCAACCTCTGCTTATTCGCGAATCATATATATATATATATATATATATATATATATATATATATATATATATGGCGTAACTGACAGCTAATATCTCAGACCATTATCTGTTCTCCCTTCGAACTCGGTGGACCACTGTATTTATCATATCGTTACCAGTCCTATTTGTGGTTATTTGCGTTTCCTCAACTTCACTGTTAGTCAACATCCACCAAATTGCTTTGGAATAATCCTGTATTTGATTTAGTCATACTACTGACAAGGGAAAGCAGCAGTCAGGGATGTAAAGCGAAAACAGAAGATAGATTCTGAGAAATTTGAACACAGTGAGAAAAGATACAGTGCATAACCTCTAAAGTCAGCGATGGAGTAAGTATAAAGAAAAAGAAGTACACGCTCAAGTGCGCACCACGTTCACGGAAACTCCTTCCGAATTTGGTAAGGACCATACACTGTCACCATGAGAAATGTGGTCCTGTTTATTATGCTATCAAAGCAGAAAAAATCAATAAAAATGGGTTAACATCAATTAACTTCAGAAATGGATATAGTTGGATAAGGAAGCCGAGATCAAGGCACAGTAAGAACGCGTAGAACCAAGAAGGTCGGAACGGCTCTGGGTGACGGGTGTGGCGTATGCTACTGACAAGTTTTACCATTGGTATAAAAAAGAGACGTTCTTTGGCATAAAAGTGTCCTAAAAGTAGCGGATAGAGAGAGATTTGATGCCAATGAAAGACGAAACGAACCAACAAGTATTGCAGCAAGACAAAAAAATATAATATGTGAAGGGCAGAAATAGCAAACGATACGGAAGATCGGTGCAAATGATATCTTTCATATAAGATGCACATAATTTTCCCCATGTAGAAGAGAAATCGAATTCTAAATAAACATTCCCTTACCAAGTCTCTAGTCCTCTTCTGTTACACTAAAGTTTTTAAGAACAATGGTTTCTGTTCTTAAGAATCCAGAAGGGAATCTCTTAAGAAATCACTCAGGTACTTGATGATGCATACTCTATTTGTAGCTGATTTAACAAGACGTGAAGATAATGCGGCTGTTTATATATATATATATATATATATATATTGATTATATTTTGATTTCACACAACATTTTCGGTACAGGCATGAAATTTTCAGCATGTGATATCGGTAGGCCGAATTTCGCATGCCAACCACTGATATCAAGTGTGCGTCGGCGGGGGATCGAGCCCCGGACCATGTGTATGTTCGGGGAGAATCCTAACCGCTGTGCCACCGACTCACAGATGAAGTTATTCAACTCTCCGTCTGAATACATCTGTGAGCTAGTTTTATATATCGTGAAAACAATACCAGTTTAATCCTAGACCAAAATGAAGTTGTCTTATTTTTTGAACAGGTCGACTGTATGATCAAGTCAAAAGTAACATCACGAGATTCAGAGTGGACAGAAGAATCATAATGTGTCTATCTATCTATCTATCTATCTATCTACGGAGCTTTGGCTATATGAAAGGAACCTTAATTACAACAATAAATAATTTGAATTTTTCTTATCGATAAATACAATAATTTACGAAGTGATCTTTCTCCGTTTGACGCGATCAAATCGGCAAGATAAACAACTAAGTGATTTTATGACAATCTCAAATTGTAATTGGTCACTTTATTACATTTCCCTGAAATAACTAACCAGCCAATCAAACTTGAGTATGTGTTAGTCAGAAGCAATGAAAATATAACACAAGGTTATTTTATCTGTTTTTCTCTCATTTAATTTTACTGCAAAATAAAAAAAGTAATTTTATTGTAATAATTTTCAGTCTTACAAAACTGAATGTTACATGGGACTTACTGGAGGTCAACTGCACATGTGATTGTTATGCAAAGAAATCTTGTTAAATGTCCACGAGTAACAGACAGATATTCTATGTAGAATTAGTCATAATTTTTCTTACTGGAATTGGTGGAACATTGGCTTTGATAAGTGTTTGCCTGAGAAGTTCATGGATTTCTGTTAAACTGTTTAAAAAACTTCATCGTTATTCGCATTTTGATAATTTGAGTAAGTCTTCTTGTATTTGTTTTTTTCCAATTGTCATTCAAATGTTGCTTTCGTTGGATTTCGTTGGTTACATGATTTCATCATTAGCTGATATCGGTCAGAATAGAGCCATTGGGAAATCAGTAAATAGTACTGCTACACAGCAGTTTCATCCTAGTACTTGGGACTCTTCATCAGTACGCACCCACCACCATGTTTCGGACCCACGACTTTCTGGCCAGCCAGTCCATGAATTCCAACTTCTGCCAATTTACACGCGATATAGAGTGACTGGCATTAACCAATTTCATTGTTGGCCAGTATTGGTCTTCACATCTGACCTGCTGTATCGCACAAGTCGCGATTTCACGCAATATTTAATTGTAGACTGTCAAGACCTCAAGCTGTCTTTGAAAGGCAACCATGTGAAGCATGGTTGGTACGGGTTTTGATCCCTGGTCAATACACTCCTCGCTAAGCCCGTAGTAAGGCCAGTGAAATAGGGAGGTTGGGCGTGAGGCTAGCAGACACACTCCTTAAAAATGCCACTTCTACGAAAACTTCAAAGTCTGGAGCATGAAGTCCCATGTTCCTCGTCTGAATGTAAAGGAACAAAAACAAAAATATTCTTTGATTCTATGTAGAGATTTCTGTAGTGGAAAAGGTAGGTGGTGAGAACGGTAAAACTCTGTATACATTGTGACTTTTGTCTGAGGAACCACCTGAGCTCAATGGATTGATTTATAAAATTGAATATACAAACACTGTCGTGGCCCATGATATTGAGTAGATAGCCTGACCGAATGAGGTTAACATGGCACTAACAAAGTCACAGGATGTGCCCTGTGAAAAAAAATCAATTTTGTTCAATGTGCTGACGACCTTAATGTCTTCTGATCAATTAGTTCCCGAGCTAACTGATGCAAGCTGATCAACTGTCCGACATTAGCCAGCCAGCGGTTTAAGGTAAATGGTTTTAAGTTAAATCCCTCCAAATATCAGATAGGTCATTTAACCTTCATGAATAGACGTGATCTTAATGAACTCATTAGTTCACCAGCCGTTGCTTGTAGCTCAAGTGACATTGACACAGAAACTAAGTCAAGCTTAAATAACCTCGAAACATATTTGTACCCTCTGACCTTTCTTTGTTTCCCAATATATCCTGTCTATTTTTAAGAGAATGTTCCGTCTAACCGACTACAATAAGAAAGTAGGACAACCTGAAATCTCTCATCCCCCAATCTTTTACAACTTTTTAATACATCTTAATCACTAGTCCCCATTGCCATTGTCCCCATTCCCAATACTTACTATTCAGGTTATACGTTTGGATAAACTAGAGGTATGTTCTGTTTTTAACATTTTGAAAGTGTTACCCACTAATCTTCGTCATATGTTTGGAGTAGGATTAACTGTAATGAGAGCTATGGGCCATATTTTTGCTCAACTATTCATGAAGATATCTGTTACGAATGTGGTGTTTAATAGTGATCCGACTGCTACTCCTTCTCTTTGTTTATCTATACATCTTTCCTCGGGATTTGAAGAAAATAAATGCAAGGTATAGTTAGATTCTCAAAATAATTTCTTCAGAGTTTGGCAGCTTTGTCCAATGAGTAAGTTTGGGATGAGCAGCAAGTTCTCTTCAAACTGTTTCAAAAGCCAAACTAATTGGTGTATTAGTATAAAGACTGGTTAGTCATTTTAAAACTAACCGCATTTCTCATCACTCCCTGTTTGAATGTCACTGTAATTCTTTTGCATTTCACATGAATTAATTAACCTAGAATTTGAAGGATTTCTGCTTATTAAATGGTAAGCGCTTAGGTAATTTCCAAATAGGGATATTTATAAAGTCAACTAATGGCCCTATAGGATAACCTGGTTTATGTATGAAGAGTAACATAATGCTTCAAGAGCATGTCTCCACCCTATCCCATTCTCTACTGTCCTCCCTAGATGGCTAGCTTCATAGTTACCCATCATCTGTCATCCGCAAAATCCAGACCTTGATGTAGGTTAGGTCGGAACTTGGGGGCACTGTTGTTGTAGAGTGTTATTCCATATTAGCTAAGTTTATTTCAAATTTGGGGTTGTTTTGAGGTTACCACTGTGCAGTGCTTTACTCTAACACAGTGGAATACTCCTCTGGTTAGTTTTTGCTGAATTAATGTAGAGAAAACAAATTCATTTCAATGCACCTGCTAATTACGGAAATCAAACCTTAGCTGATCGATAAATCGGATGAAAAGGGATTTAGATAAAAAAATGTAATACAAACAAGAGATCCTTCTGATATTTTGTTGAATCTCAACAAAATCCACTATCGAAATCCTAATTGAAATTGTAGGACTAGCTATTCTAGACTGTCAAATATGAATAATAATGGATGGTAGCGTGAAAGTGATTACCCATAGAGGAGGACCTCACTCTGAAGATATCTTGGATACCACCCAGCTCACTCACTTTTCATCAAACGATTGTCAAATTATGACTCAGTGGCCTCAGAGAAAAACATTTCAATGCTATTGATACTGAATGGATGTCACTCTGTTACACAATTAGCGGGAAATGCATTTAGCTGACGAGTCTCTAAAAGTCCGAGGCATATGTCCTAAATTCTATTACCAGTCTGTTCTAGAACAAGAAACCTTATAAGAAATTTTATTTCCACGGTTATTCATGTCACACAACGGATCTGATTATGAAGATAAACGAACTGTGTTCCGGATGTCGTACAACATGCAGTACTGTTTCGTTGTGTGCAATAATATCCAATGAACAAGTTAGTATGAAATGAAATACTGCTAAATTAACCAACTTTAACACATCAATTATTTATTTGGAAATTCGGCATTTGAAATGGTTCAATTTAGCTTTGTATATTAGTTTGAAAAACCAATTATGTGAGGAGGAATTACCCGTCGTCATAAGATGATCACTGCAACAGTAGAGAGTGGACATCACTCGGGCAAATGATTCCAAACCAAATAATCGGATCGCAGCACGACGTTAAAGCCGAATTTACTTCATCATTGCAAGTTTCATCCCACTTACCGACAAAGGTTAGAGTAGGTTTAGGGTTGGGATATGATTAAGTTTAGGGTGAAATTTGCCATGAAACCTAGAGCTCCAGTGAAAATGAAATGAAGAAAACTTAGGGTTAGAGTGAATTTTGTACAGTAGATTGTGTATACAATGAAACTTGCAGTGGGGACTAATTGAGCAGCATCTATTTGTAATGGTGAACAGTGATATGATTGATTGGTTCAAAGTGATTTGACTTTGGTGTCTATTGTTCACTGTTGTCATGTTCACAACTAGACGGAGATGTCACATCAATTTCCAATTTCAACTACCCATGTAGTATTTGAAATAAGCTTATGGTATATGGAATTACATTCTACCACAGTCAGCACTATCCGCTATAAGCAGAAAAAACCTCACAATATTCATTGTTCTCAACTGAAACATACCTAATAAAACAGGATTTATATCAATGTAAGTGTGCAACTTGGACACTGTCGTAGAATGTAATTCCATATTAGATAAGTTTATTTTAATAATCACACACTGATGCAGTATTTACAAGTGGATGACGTTTCGAGCATAAATGTTTGCTCATAATCATATCAATTAAGTCACGTTTTCACAATTTGTCTTATATGTATTTTTTTTTCTATGTTTGTCTCTCCGAATCCCCTTTGTTGTTTGCTGCCACTATCCATATCTCGGGTATAGGCGCTGTGTCATTCCAATTGCATGTCTGTGGCGTTGAATCGATAAAAAAAGCTTCAGTGATTAAACTCTCTATCTCTCTACCTGTATACATGCATATATCAACCTATATATATATATATATATCCACCAACTACATTAAGTTTTAGTACTCTGAACCTGCACCAACTTATTTTGTGATTACATGCAAGTGAATGCAGTGCAATGGCTGAGCTTTTTTATACTTTATTTAACTTAGCATGGTCAGTTATTCTAAGTCTAGCCAAATGTTTATGTTCCAATAATCTAGTTGACCCTGATCTAACTAGTTTGACTGACCTATGTAACTGACCTCACGAGCAATCATTACATGGTATTTGTAAAATTATCTTATTTTTATTAACTGGGTCTATTTGGTCCTTAAATCGAAAGGCATAGTTTATCTTTGAGATAGACAATTAAGAAGACAACTGCAGTGAAGAAAATTTTCTTTTCGACGAAGTTATCATCTTGGCTGTACATTCGTGTATTTATATCAAATGGATAGGAAAGTTCCAGAATAATATCCGGTCAAGGGTCAAATTAGTAAAAATTAAACAAGGTCTCTGACGTCCCTGCTTTATACGCCAGTCCTAAAGAGGCTTTGAAGCCTACATTATTTTCGTTATTTTCCTCAGTTTTACTGCTGGTCTTAGTTGTCCCATGCTTCTTAAAATATATTTTTGAATAAATTCTGGTGAATAGTTATTCACTGGTAATATTTCCTTTGTTTGCTTGATTTTGTATTTTAAATGTTTTGGCCTACTATTTAGGCACTTGGCCCGATTATAAGGACATTTAACTTAAACCTACATTATAACTCTCGAGTATCCCAATGGGAATTTTTATCTCCTTTCGGGTGTCGTTTCTTTATTTTCACTGTAGCGATAGGATGTAGCTAAAAGATAAGAAAAATCTATTTCGAAAAATATAGCTCCACGATTCCATTCGATAAAAATACTTCACATCGATAAACTTGAGTGGAATGTTTGAGAAAATATTGACAGGCTATAGGGAAATTTATGCGAACATGTGACTCAACGATACAGTTGTCTTAAAAAAGGAAAGTCGTCAGCCAGGTAGACTAGTCTTTCTGTGAAAAGATTTAGATGATATTAGGTGTAGAAATGAATATTTTCACAAATATGTATATATATATATATATTTATATATATGTATTGAAATGCAGATTGTGTTGAGAGTGAATCTTGCACGGTAGATTGCATATACGAAGAAACTTGCAGTGAGGACTAATTGAACAG